GGGAAACCGCTTGTATTCAGAATTTCCAAAGAAACTTATGAAGATGAAAAAAGAGAAGGCTCTTCGGGAAATCGAGTTTTACTTGTGCATTTTCAAGTAGGTGACACCAACCCTCGTCAGACAAAATAAATAGAGGCCAAAGTGAGATCGGCAAACTAGGTCGGTCGGTGAGACAGGGCAGACAACAGACAGCTGATGCGTCTGTCCATTTCGTCTGACGACGGGTTGGAGTCACTAACTTGAAAATTCACGGGTACAATTGGATTTTCGGAAGATCCTTCACTTTTTCAGCGTATCACCTCGGAATGCACACCACGTCAGTTTTTAAACCTGTAAAGATGTCCGATTCGAGTGATACAATTCATGCTACGGCGTCCGCGGTAGCCGACAAACCCTACGACCCTGGCTCAGGGATGAGGGCGAATACTATGCGACCTGGAGTACTAAATTGGGAACGGACTCCCGGTATACAATGCTGAAATGTGTGAACGTTTCTGGAGCCTGGTATCCAAAATCTGACGATATGCAGCCATTACTAGTACTACGTAGATATTTTAAAGTGCGATGGTCGAAAAATAAAAATTCCCAAATCAGAATGCAGAGAAGACAGTTAGATGGATCATCTTTAACTGAGACCGGGAGTGCACAGACAGCAACGACAGCAGTTGCAGCTAGCGCTCTCACCAGGCAAGTGTCAGTCGAAGTGCATACGCCCCAACTTCGCCCAGTTGAGGCCAATTAGCGAAGAGATAAATATCGACCGGTGTCACGGCCTCGCAAACCAGAGGTTGAGTCCCGATTTCAAGGCGTACCGAGAGCAACATGTATAAGAGGGCGGAGTTGACGACCGTAAGAACAATCAGTCAGAAATATCCGCTAGCTGTCTGAAGCTCGAACTCTCAGCCTAGGCTCTCGGAAAACGCAGATTCAGAGGCCAACTCCTACTTTACATTACATCGCAGCGTCCCGTGCGACTCGGTAGAAACACAACGAACGAACCATGCACAACGTGCGTGGGAACCAGTCCATGACCAGAAGGCTTACGTGCGACTGAAGGGTCACTTTACGAACACCTCTGTCGTCTCTGTCTGAGCACAAACATCAGCTGTCGACCAGCGCGATGAAGAACCCTTCTACTCACAAATGAAAAAGTTGGCTGAATAACTCCCACGCCGTGGACTGCTGATTTTTCTTGGGCCCCAAGTAGCCAGCCTGAGCCAGGAGACTACCCAGTCACCCTACTGACCCCTTCGAATCTGGTCATCAATGCTACAGAAATGAGATAATGCTGAACTTTGCGGACCAAAAATGACTGTTAGTCCCCAACACCTGCCTACGGCATTGCCACGAATGCCTGCTGACCTGGTATTCAAATGACGACCGGTAATGACTATATTCTGCTTGTTTTAAGCTTCTGCAGCCCATAACAGATCGATGCGTGCTGCCGAATCTGGCAACGGCAATGTGACATGCTGTGTTTGCGTTAGCACACGCCCGAAAGTGCACCTCTCACCCGCAGCAAAACTGTCACGTGCAAGACGCCTTGGTGTTGCGAAAACAAGGCAACGCAGCACAGCCGAGGCCTTAAATACGGAAATAGGGTCTCATTTTACGACCCCAGCCGAAGGAGAGGGCAGTGGCAAATTGTCATTTATTAAAGCCATCAACCCACGAGGTAGATGTGAAAATTTATTTAATTTATGCATATTTTGTCGGACAAAGGGTCAGTGGCACCGCAGTAATTGGATCAGCAGAATAACCTTGAAGTTGGCTCGAGTCATTTTCTGAACTGATACTTCTTCCCACTAAATCCATAAAATAACGGTTAAAACGGCTAAAAATGACCATAAAAACAAATGGGCTGAAACAACGAACTCCATGGAACAGGCTTCAATCGTCCGTAGCACTTACAAAACTCTACCAAGTGGTAGGCCCTCTGCATTATGTACGTGATGTGAATGGAGGCTTCGTTGCTAACAACTCGGCCAAATTCGTGGGTGGCATGAGCACTTCGGACACTTCCCAGACTTTGGCGATAAGTCCATCATGGCCTCGCATGCTGGAGCAGAGTTTTATCCAGCTCCAGCCTGGCCAATGTCATGTGACGCACTCGCCCCCTTTGGAGGGAAAAAATCGCTGATACACTACGAAGGTTGCACAGTAGCAAGGCATCAGGAGAGGACCGCATTCCTTCTGAAATCGGCAAGACTTATGTGGACACCCTGGCGGTCTAGCTGCATAAGTTGATTAGGTAAGCGTCCCGGGATGACCTTCTCCCTGATGACTGGGGTTCGGGAATCCTTGTGGCTGTATTCAAAAAGGGAGACCAGAAAGATTGCAAAGAGTATCACGGAGTAAGCCTTATCGACGTTGCCTCGAAATTCTTCGCAGTCGGCATTCCGAGTGCGAGTGAGTCGATGACGAGACCCAATCAAGCCGAGCTATGTGCAGGGAGTGGTGTACGATCATGGCTACCAGTAACGGAATACTGTATGCTCTGTTGATTTCGCTGTTGCATTCGATTTCATCCATCGTTAGTCCTTGTAGCGGATAGTCGAACTAGATGGTGTGCCGATAAAATCATCGTATTCTCAGGGCCTCTTAACGCTCCACCACTAGGCGAATTTCGGCCCATAACAATCTATCCTAGCCGTTCGATATTCGATGTGGCGTAAAGCAAGGGTGTATTCCCTCGTCTATGCTTTTCAAATGGGTCATCGATTGGACATTCAGAGGCCCTACGCCGTTTAAACGGTATTGAACTTGCAATTAGACGGCGGCTGACTGATCTCGACCACGCTGACGACATTGCCCTGATAGCCTCAAGTTTTGGTGACCTATGGTGCGACGGGTGAACGAGGTAGCTAAATTAGTCGACCAGAAATACCAGCCTCTCTAAGTTTCATCCCCGACCAGGACGCATCCCTCGGCAAAAGGCTGCTTCCGAATGGACAGAATAAAGACGACATCGTTCTCCGTGCTGATGTCGCTCGTGAGATCTCTCAAATCTTTAAAACGTATCCAAAAACCCGACGTGACATCTTCATCGCCACAAAGATCCTCGTGTGCTGACATCAGGTCAGTCCTACAATTCGGTTATTGCTGCTAGACTGTGCGCGCGGAAACTATAGATCTGACCGTAACTGCCAGAGAACCATCCTTCGAATGAGATAAATCGGCTGGGCTTTGAAGGAGGCAGTTCGTCACTAGGCAAATCCTAGTGATTGTGCCTGACGAGACGCCGTTAGAGTGATGTGGAGTCCGGATGCTAAGAGATCGGAACCTCTAGGTGCAAAATCGATCTGAGCAAGGGCGGTGGGACAAAACCAAGAGGCCCGCATGCTGCTATAGTGTTACATAGGCAAATTGTACAGTAAATCTAGTTGCTCGAGCCGAGACCACAGAACATTTTGCAGGTCTTCACACGGACAAGCACAGAGGCCGCAAGTGCTGGACCAGCATGCTCAATGGAGTTAACAGCACAGTGTTGAGAAAGGAGTGGCTAGATACTGTTATTGACAGACGTTTTTCGCGATCGTCGACTTGCCCAACATCCTCCCCGTTCCCCCCTCTATTAAGGAAACATGAATGAAACGACATCTGTGCAGGCATGCACGGCACAGACATCGTTCACGCGGTCGTCTCCACTGCCGTGGAGGACTTTACACCATCTGGTGGAAAAAAAGATGCGACTTTTTTCTGAGCAAAGTTTTCCTCTCTAAACACGGCCGAAAAATAGGAGACCACGGCCAGTAATTCGTTTTGTCCAAATGCTAACTTTCGTAATTACAGTGGTCAGCCTCTCCAGCAGTACGCGCGTATTCGGGACAAGAGTACCTGGACTCTATCTTGTGGACGAGTACTCGACTAGAGGGGACGTCTGATCTACAATGCCCTTTGGATACCAAAGTTTACTACAGAGCGCATGTGTCCCATCCAGGAGGAACGCCAGGAAGGCAGTGAAGATAGTTACCTGGCAGCGCACAGATCCTTCAATAGAATCTTTTGCACAGAAGACAGTCACATATCCGCAAAGGAATAATTGACGACTAACCCAGCAGGCGAGGTATGGGAAAATGGCATCCGGTAGAGCAGCCAGATGGGTACTTTACGGTCGGTTCTCCATGAGGAAGGTTGTCCGAGACGGCTGGTGTTAGGTGGAAAGTTGTAACGCCAGTGCGTGAGGATTATTATGTGACGTCTCGTGTGCATCCACAAGGCAAGCAGAATTGAAATGGAAGAACGAATAGATCTCCACATGCTCGTCGAGGCAACTGGCAGTCCTGAACTGAGAACCGTTGACGGGGACTACGTGAAGAACAGATTGCAGCAAGTGCCTCCAACATGCATGCCTCCCCACTCAATTCTATCTACACAAGTGGCACTTTGCCTAACGAACTGACGGTGGGACCAGGGTCCTGTACGACAATGCAGGAACAGTGGGATGCAAGACATACCAGTTGAAGACAAGGTCTCGGCACGATTCACACAGCAGAATCCTAAGGACCACTCAGTTCCAGAGCAGTTTCCCCGGTCTTATTCGTCAGGTCGGAATAGGAGTACTAGTGCCAGTGTAGCGCAACTAAGGAATAAGGACTGAACCACAATCCCCCACGCCTATGGGTCTAAACACCTCAAACTGAGGTAAATATTAGCTGATAAACAAATGGAACATGCGATAAGCGCTCCAACTGGACATGATCGGATCAAAGGACGGAGAAATCTACCTTCTTACGGCATCAATAAGAACGAAACCCAAACAAGTTTTATTCAAGTTCTTTATTCCGGGAAGGCTGCGGACGAGGAAACGCCTACAAATTCAATCGAAGCAAATTTCACTGGAAATGAGCACTGCCAAATCCAGCGTTTTCAGACTAGGAAAGACGGGATAAAACACTGGCCCCACTGCCTGTCAGTCCTCGTGCATTTGCGAAGACCGAAAAGTGAAACAGGGGGTGTTCGCAGGGAGATCGAGTGCTGGAAAAGGAGAAAGATGTGCTTCACATTATCAAGAAGTACTCGTCAATTTTTGAAAACCTCTCGGCAACCCGTTGACATCGAGCGCGAAGAGACTCAGTTAGGGCAGTTACATCGGAAGAAACCCGTTCCAGGTGGCTTTCAACGGTAGAAAAGGTAAGATCAACTAGGTTGGAGGGATTGAAAAGATCAAAGGACGACAGGACTGAGAGAAGTGCCGGGCTGGAACGCGTTGACTGGATACTTCCATGATGCGAAGCGGCAAAAGAGTCTGACTTTTGAGGGGCTGGGGTGCAGGGTTCCGAGGAGACGGCGCGAGCCACAAGGGGCCCAACGAAGCCCCTCAAATTAAGGGATCTGACGCGGTCGAGAAGCGAAAGACTGGAATGCCGACCGAATCGTTTGGGCTGGGTGGGAGGGCGTTCAGGGATCACAGGCACTTCCATTGACTTAAACTGCACGACCGAGCTCATAAAATTGTCCGAACGATTTTCTGCCACCCAAAGAAGGGCTTCGCGACCCTGAGAATAAGTGTGCAGAATGTGAGTAAGGGGCATGTGTCGTTTCATTATTAGTTAATAAAGATAATAGGACTACCACACTGTAACTGAATAATGGAGACATTTTAAAGGGCACCTACGGCTTTCACAAAGAGACATTACTCTGGCACACCATTTAGAACAAACTACTTTCTCCCTATAATTCTGGACCCTAACAGTGGCAAATAATGAAGAAAGAGTCTAAAAACTTACCAGTTGGGCGTTCTTCTTGCTCACTGAGAGGGCTGGATAAGCAATGAGAGGGAAGGCGTCGACTGTAACAGTGTGCCGAACGACAGTCCTAGAAGGGAGGCACACAAATGTACCTTAGTGAGATACTGCAAGGCCAAATTTTCTTGCGTATACAAACCCCCCAATTCGTATGATGGAGGTATGGCTGGACCGCTCACCGTGCAAAACACCATTGCTAGATCTGCATATCTGACGACCAGGCGGTAAATGCGACGCCACGCAAACCTTATAGAACATACCCTGCAAAGGACATATCAGACTGAAGATGGGCAGTTGACCTTTATGCTTGAAACGTCGCACAGTAAGTACACCGATTTTATCGATTTAATCGGGCCTCGTTTTCACACCTTAAGCCTCGATGCTACAACGGACGCAGTTCAGGGCCTCTGGTTATGGATACTTCCTGTCCAAACCGCAAATGGCCCATTAGTGTACAGACCGCACTAACTGGTGCAGCTGAATAGAGGCAGGCGAACAGTGAGCTATGGATAGGCATAACTGGGTCAATTTCCAGCAACTTTGCGCACATGTAAATAGGCTTGGTTTCAGAAGTAGACGCCTGAGACGGGTACCCTGTACACTAGAAAACGAGTTTCAGGAAGCAAGTGAGAAGAGACTTGGTCGTGTTCACTCCTCAACGATACACCTGTCTAAACTTGCTGCATTAACCATGCGTGAGTTGAGTAGTTCAGGTTGACAAATGGCGGCCCAGCTGGAGGACAACCGACAAGGAGTCCGTGTTAGTGCTGGGTCAATCTATGTATGTGGTGTAATACAGACAAATGGTAGAAGAGAACTCGTGAGTCGAAATGCAAACTATAATGATGACGAGTATAGCAGAGAAAAGCGACGACAGAGAATGCGGGTAGATTTATGCAATCCTGTTTAGGGTTTATTTTGTCTTCATTCAATCATAACCCTAGCCACAACTTGTAGTTGTTGGTTGCCTGTTTGTGAGCTTTACCACCAGTATGGAGCTCGCTTGCTTCGAGAAGCCTGTACACGAGTGTGGGTCTATTCCTAGTTGATGATGAGTATTTCAGCGCACTGAGAGAAGGAAAGGTACCGATCAATGCAGGACTTAGTTATAGGATGGCAAAGCTGATCCTCTTCAAGAGAGACGGGAAAGAACCATTCCATGGCCGGCCCAATCATAAATACACACGAGGAAGTACTTAAGACGATGCAGTCTATAACTAGATCAACAGGCCGAAAAGTTGGTTTGATTCAAACCTGGACTGAAATGTCAGTTACGCCAGTCAATTAGTTAATCATAAGTATGCCATGGAGGATTAGTGAACTTATGGAAGCAGACATACGATTTATCCAAGTTTCGTATACCAAGAGGTACTTTTCGAAATCAATACGATCACCCCATCCGTTTTTATCCAAGCTCTGTTTTCGAGGTGGGACAGAGTTTTGTTCAGTGACAGCGTTTGGAGGCATAAATTTGACCAAGCTTATGGCGTGGCATTTTGCTGTGACATACGGAGTTGCAGACGTGCTCAGGCAGGTGTGAAAGGGGGGGTGTTGAGTATTACGCAACGAGTCCACTCTAAGACTCGGCGAAAAGACGCGCACACTATGCTGAACTTTCGTAACGACCTAAGGAGACGAGGCTGCGCGACAGACTACATGCCTAGCATCTGCTTCCACAACTGTTAATATATCTCATATTTTAGGGGGAAACTGCATTTACAAGTGGATGGACGCGCAGGACGCTACCTACGAGGCGACTGACAAATATGAGCGAAGTTGATAAGTGGCATAATGGGTTAGACGCTAATGACATGAATTAGTGGAAGGGGGGTACACACATAAAAACTTTGGTCTGAGCCTATAGATCTAAATATACTGATCTACTCCAAGTTCGCAGTTAATTTCTGAGGAAATTAAAAAGCAACAATTCCTAAATTGCAGTAACCACCAGAAAACAGACAGAGAATGCTGAAGGACCCACAGACGAGCCGAACGCCTCGCAGCTGTGTCATGCAGCGGCAGAATATCGGCGAAACACGCGTGTACGGGCTTTTGGCTACCACCTGTGCTGTTAGTCTGGAATCACCTTACACTTAAGGAACTGTTGAGATTAAGTTAGCTAGCTTCATTCATAGTTGTCGACTTGGGAGCGGAGAGTCAATCCAACCCGCTGGACGTAAGACTTGGCAAAGTATTCGGAACTTCCAAAGGGAGCGGGAGGATGGGCATGATAACTGCATGGTTAGGCTACAAGCCAGCTGAGCACTCTCAAAAAAATGAGAAAATCGCACATAAATCACAGCCATTTATCACTTAAAAGAAGACTAACGAATTCCTCATTCCTAGTCAGACTCGTCGTTTTGCCGGACTCGACTGAGCGGTAAAGGCAATCGTTTACCGTGCCTGATCTAAGTCACCATCTGGCCGCGCTCAGTGTACGCTGACATATGGTACACCAAGTATGCGATGAAAGCGACCGGGCCAATCCTAGGCTAGCTTTTGAATCGCCTACAGTGTAGAGCATAAGCAATTTTTTGCTCAAAGTCATTGGTGCAGACGGTCCTATTAGTTCGATCGAAGAAACAGTGTTACAGATTGTTACTGACCACAGCAATTGGCAAAGGTCTAACCACGCAATCAGTCTAGTTATGTGTTTGTGTGTGTTGAGTGGCCGACTGGGTCAGACTGCAAGGATTCTTTAGTGGCCTTCTCCCACATATGTGAGATCTCAGCCGCTTCCCCCTGCGTGTGCGTTTGGAGGGCCTATTCGGTTACATGCGTATGCGCAACAGAGGGATCCACCGCAGTATTAACACACCTAATACTTTTGCACATCGAACAACCTTCCCATCCCCAGCCCAATCAACTTTCCATGGATCAGCGTACCCACCACGGGCGGTATTCCAAAGACAACTGGTTCACCATCCCCGCCCCTCACGCATCAGCCTGGCTGGTCACTTGCAAACCCATCGCACAGACTGCCAAACCAGCGCCTGGGGCACCGACATACACCAGACGTCATCGCTTCAGTTGCCCAAATGGCCCTTGCACACTCAGTCATCGCACACGCCTATTTAGTTACATGCGCCTCCATGAAAACCGACGGTAAATCACCGCAGACACGACCGCACCACCAGACACTTCTCCACAAACACATGAATCATACGCGATCACTTCCAACACCCCACATCACTGGTACCTTTCACGTAAGTGGGAAGCTTGCTCTTCGGCTCCTTCATACATGTGGCCCCTCCGATGCATGTGGGACCCGAACGGTCTACTCCACTGCGTGTGAAATCCTGGTTTGTATGGGCGGAAAGCAGTTCGTGTAAGGCACGCCCAGACAGCTGTTCTCAGCTGTCAGTCTCCTCTTCCAATCTCTGTATCAGTTGTCTGATCAGCTCGGAGAACTGACTGGTGCGCGGGATAGGATAAGAGGGAGTGCGGCCGACTCTCAGCGCATAATTTCCTCCCATAAACAATGTGACGTACTTGAAATTGTTACAGTGCGCTGAGCGCCGTGGGCTGGAAAGCTGCCAAATGAGGGGAGGACTCGGACCTCGCATACAGTCCAGTGTTTGGGTGGAGTGGCCTGCTGGTAGTCTGGGAGTCGGACTGCAATTGTATCTTCTCAATTTGATCTCTATGGCAACCACCCAGTGGGATCCGAGCCGCCCCTCTCTTCTTGGTGAAAAATCGTGGTCAGTGTACACTGCGGACCATGGAGTGTTGTGGTATGCCTAGGTGCGAGTTTCCGCCGTGCCAGTCACCTGTGTCCTCTCCCACCTGCGGTCTTCCTGACTCTACCATGCCATCGGACCCAGGTGGGGGAGAGCGCGATAGGTGCGGCGCAAGTACGTCACTATAAAGGAAATCACATGCAAGTCACTGTCTCTGTTCTCATCCTGCTTTGGAGCACACGGTTGTCCGCAAATTACTACCTAAGGGCTCTAGTCGACAAGTTCGGCGAGTTTCGAGGCAATTACTTCGTTCAACTAGAACCGCTGTGTCTATTGTGGAGAGAATAGAGGGTCCGAGGGATTTAGGGCGTGTCTAAAATCTGCACCAGGTCCTGAAGTCCCCTCTCAGATCAGGCCTCTCCAGCAAAAGAAGCGGAAGTGATGCATGTACGAGATTATGAATATGCAACTCCACTCGGAGAAACACAGTCTAGGTGCGTTAGCACCCTAACAAACTGAAAGTGGCGGACATGTGATTCTTTCACGGCCTGCTGTAACCATGTTTAGTGAACCGTGCGCGGATCAGTTCAAAATTGCCAGGAGGATCGGGGGCGAGTAAAATCACTGTTTGATGACTTGGCGCTACGGCTCATCGGCACGAACGCGAAGTCAGATTTTTCCGTCTCAGTCCGACTCGGCGCTTTTTTGGACAGTCGGAAAGGTGAAGTGTGATAAGGTCAGATGTAGATCTGATGCTGCGAGCAAGACGCCAAATGAGAGACCGCCGTTAGCTTGGTCGACTACAGCATGAACCAAGATTATGGCTTCCACGGCCACACATTGTACAGCCAAACGTACACAGAGGGGAAAAAGCAAGGCGAGAGACAGGTAGTTTACACGTATGAGTGTTCAGTGAGTGTTTTGCACCCTGATAGAACCGTGATCACTTATTCATGGGAATCAGTAATTCGCTCATTTCGCAACTGGCCCTCGTCAAATGTTGGTCCAATATCCGTCGCCAGCGGACATGGGTAAACGGTATCTAGACTAACGGCCGGACAGTATCTGCACGCGTTACGGGCTGACCATGAAAACACCGACCGGGTGGACAGTCTAAATTTCCGCCATAGATTTCGAAAACTGTCTGCTTCGTGGGATGGCCGGATTTCTTCATTAAGTGCATTGGACCCCGTGGAGAAAAATGTTTAAGTTTCCGGCAAAAAATGTAATTGAGGAAGGAGCTTGTCACCACTCAACATTCGCATGCGTCCTTGTGGACAAGGTTAACAGCTTAACGGCAGTGTATTCTATCGACCGCTGCACTCGGCCGGTAGGTGGGATGGCTCCAAACGGTTCTGACTATAAAGAATTAAGGCGCAGACAACCCCAGCGAAACCCTAAGATGACAGCCAGAAACAGAAAACGGAAACAGCACACAATATTGATTGGGAAGTTGGTTATTTAAGCCAGCGTTGTTCGTGCAATGTACTGTTATCAACGGGTGTTCTTCCAAAGAGGGTTTTCCGGATTTGTTGAAGAACACGTACATGGTATCCGGATTCTATTTAACAACTCAAACGATTAATGGTAGGATTGTATTACACTCCTATACTATGTAAGAACCGTTTATGGAATATTTTTAATGCTGGTTTGAAAATACTCCCACATGAAAAACCTCATGCGTTACTTGGTAGGTGATGTGGGGCTCTAAGCGCAGTCGATTGGCAGGCACAAACAAAAGGATGTTACCCTCCTGCGCGTGGCATATGTGGCTTGGGGGGATGTCTCGACATCCTAACCGGGGCTAACACTTGAGTGCACGCTGATCGATCTCAACAATGCTGAAAATATTGGCTTCTAGGTGCCAACGAGGGCTACCTAAGGAAGTACCGCGTAGGAATGAGGTTACAGAGTCGGTAAAGTCGAAAAACAATTTCCATCGACCTATTTCGTTGGCCAGAACAGTCCGGAGAGGTGGGTAATTTCCAATAACTTCGCGTCAAATGAATGCCTGACTGACAAAATAGGCGACATCAACGCCGGAGTCAATTATGCTCGCAGGGTTTGGAGTTCGGACCTTGGTCACCTATCCAACCACCACCAATCACAATTAAATACTGGCTGCTTATGAGACAGTTGACCATTAATAACTGCTACCATTCGGATAAAATTACTGTCAATGTGTATTCTTTTCTAACAGCTTTGTCTTCAATAATATAAGTGCCCAGCCAAGCTTTTACGATAAGTGCAAAGCACTATCACCTTGGTACCTTGTTGTTTCCTTATAAAAGGCAGAAAGATTCATTCCGTGGAGGGCACTTACCATTCTTTGTTTTTAGGATGGGCTTCGTATTCCAGTTTTTCATAGGCCTTGAGTACACCGCGAAGATCCACGTTGTTCGACTCTAGGAGCATGTATTGTTTGCGAGGATTTATTGTGGTCGACTCTACGGCCTTAAGCTCTCCAGCATTGGAAAACATCGGCCAAGAAGAGTTGATAAGTTTAGTTGTGCGCAATGTTTCGCCATCAGAAGCAACCTCTCGGGAAATGACGTCGATGGACAAAACGTTAGGATTGAAGGGATTGGGATACTTGACCTGTGCTGCACGCATAACATCCGCCCATGGTTTGCTGTTGACGGAAAAATAAGTAAGGAGGCAACTTACTGGAGAACGAACTCCTCCCGCCAAGAGCCGACCATCCCGGAAATTTTAAAAGTGCCGCGTAGTGCTTGCTGTGTCTCGGATTGCTCGGTTTCACTACACTGGCACAAGTGGAAGGACCATCCTTCAGAAGATCTTATCCTTTCGTCAAAAGGACAGTCGGTTTGAGATTTGAATAAACATTTTTGACGGGGACGACAGATAACTCCTATAGTGCCAGCTACAAAATTAAGTTTGCTCAGTTTAATACTTTCCAGGAGTAGAACGCCTTCTGTATCCTACTCAAGTGCCTGGGTATTTCTGTACCAAATCAAATCGCAAATCAAACCGAAAACGGGAGGATAGAAACAGAAAAGTGGTGTCAAAATAACTCCGAAGTGCGTATTTATTTTCAAACTTTTGCTTTCTTGTGGAAGTATATGGAGGCTCACAAAGGGACATCTTAGGCTGGATCATAACCGTCATTATGGTTTTCTGCCTACTGAGGTCGACTGACAATAGCTTGTGTTGTCTCCTCTACGTATTGAATAAGTTAAATAATCTCAGTTAAAAACGTAGAACACATCCGGGAACCGCAGACTCCTGAATACCACCATGTTATCTGTTATAATATGCAGGTTGTCCATCCCTGCCAAGCGTCGGGGTTTGTAGTTTCGATTTGGAACGGTCATTTACCGGCACGGATTGCCAGCATCATAATACGGATCAATATTATGATGCTGGCAATCCGAATGACACTTATGGACTTTGTGACATAAGCGCCTGTGGGCAAAGAAGAAAAAATTATGAAAAATCTGAATGCCTAACAAGATCGGAAAGGGAAGAAAAAAAAATATAGGACAGTAAAAATATTCGAGAAATCAGCAAGTTTTTCTCTTCAGTATATGACACCAAGGTTCGAATGTGTACAGTGCGGGTACGTACGTTGGGCTACTTTAATGGCAGTAGCGGAATGATTGTTGCGAACTTCCAGTAGATGAATAGGCACCCAGCAGCAAATGATAATCGGAAGCGCCAGGTCAGCGGCTTAGTAATTGCAGAATCCAGCTCCTTCAACGTCTCGGGTGGAATTGCACCTAGACCCGGGGAGATCGATTCTTTTAAGTTCAGAAACTCTTCCCGAATGGGAAGAGGATTGATACGGTATTAGGGCCTTCCTCATCTTCGTTACTAGGTGGACTAAGTTGGGTTCACTCGAGATGACAGACAGAATGAAGTGAGCTAAATGCTCAGTCCTATCCTGGTCCTCTGAGATTTCCACACTTTCAAAAGTTTTAAACAGTAAGATAAGATTCCTGTTTCGCGTACACTTCCTTATAGGTCTGTAAAAGGCTTTACGATTAAGTGTATCAAGAACCAAAACATCATTTTCGAAGGGTCACTGATCTCTAGAGCTGAGAATTTTGACTCAATTTCTCTGCAAATTGTAACTGTTGAGGAATTTGGCGTTATACATTTCCTAGCTACATTCTTTCTTTATGGACGGGATCAATAAGCGTGGTCTGTTCGTTAGTCTTCTACGCATGATCGAGCAGGGGGGGGGAGCGATGAGGCTATGAACTATCTTTATCATTAGGTTCCAAACCCCGTCATATCGCCGGAGTGTATGGATGCCCAGTCAATGAGATGAAGATCATTTGGCGCCTGTTGGAAATTGCCACTCAAAATATTTTGGCCGAGATCAAGCGGTTTGTCAGGCAAAAAGATAATAAGGCGCATCCCCATATAAGAACTACATGGTCACTCTGCCCTAAAAGGGGAAGCGGGTAACAACCTAGTTGTTATCAGACGACTTAGCAAAAACACGGTCAAAGCAGTTCATATTTTGGCCTTCACGATTTACGTCAGAAACACGGCATATTCAGTGAGAAGCGAACTGCCAACAAACAGAGAAGCGGCTTGGAGAATGCTTCTTAAAGCAGTCAGCGTAGACAGAGTTCCAGTCGGTGTGATGCACCTCGAAAACTCCGATGATGAGAGTATTCGGCCACATAGAAAATCACTTGCGTAAATCAAGCAGTTGTGCACGACCTCCACGGTTAACTCTCAGAGGTCGAAACAGCGCTAAGATATCGAGGATTTGAGAACTATTCGACTATATAGTCAACAATGCCGAATATTCAAATTCTTGTTCGTCTCCTTCGGCATCTTCTTCTCAACCATATTCTCGACGCTCCACTCGTCGTAACTAGTCTGGCAGGGTAAGCCCGCTCACTCTGGCAGCCTGGAATGTTCGTTCCCTTTTAGAAAATCCGAGGAGCAACCGACCGGAACGGAGGTCAGCACTAGTTGCCCGCGAACTGGCGCGATAAATGGTGGACATCGCCGCACACAGCGAGACCCGATTCTCCGAACAAGGCCAACTGGAGGAGGTGGGTGCCGGTTACACCTTCTTCTGGAGAGGTCGGCCCAGGGCAGAGCGACGAGACGCGGGTGCCGACTTCGCCAACCGCAACGACATCGTGGGACGACTGCGCTGTCTGCCGCGGGATATCAAAGATCGCCTGATGAGCCTCCGCCTGCATCTCCGGGGTGGGGGCAAATTCGCCACCATCATCAGCGTCTACGCTCCGCCAATGAGCAGTCCCGACGCCGTCAGAGACAAATTCTACGAGGACCTGCACGCCCTCTCGGCGACTGTGTCGAAGGCGGCCAAGCTGATTGTCCTTGGTGACTACAACGCCCGCGTCGGCACAAACCATACTGAACGGAGCGGAACTTTGGGTTGGTCATCATCGCGCAGAAGACGGTGGTGACGCATCAACCGCAACCCAACTCAGTCACAGCCCCCAACGAGCTGCAAATCAGCGTGAATGGGACCCTACTGCAAGTGGTGGAGAACTTCCCGTACCTGGGCAGTACCCTCTCCCGCAACACCAAGATCGATGACGAAGTCGCCAACAGCATCTCGAAAGCCAGTCAAGCCTTCGGTCGCCTCCAAAGCACAGTTTGGAATCGTCATGGTCTTCAACTGAGCACGAAGCTGAAGAAGTACAAGGCCGTCATCCTGCCGACACTTCTGTGTGGAGCGGAGACTTGGACGGTGTACACAAAGCAGGCACGCCGTCTGAACCACTTCCACCTCAGTTGTCTTCGTCGCATCCTGATGCTAAACTGGCAGGATCGAATCCCCGACACTGATGTGCTGGAACGGACGGGCATCGCCAGCATCTACACCATGCTGAGACAAATGCAGCTGCGCTGGAACGGCCACCTGATGCGCAATGGAGGACGAGCGACTACCCAAACGACTCTTTTACGGAGACGTCGCGACGGGTTCTCGCCGTCAAGGAGGCCAGATTCGCCGTTACAAGGACACTCTGAAGTCCTCCCTGAAGCGCCTGCAAATCCACCCGAGCAACCTGGAAGAGCTCGCCGGCGATCGTCCGACATGGAAAAGAACAGTGAAGACGGGCGCTGCTATCCACGAAGCTAACCGCATCGCCGTCGCCAAAGCGATACGCGAAGCCCGCAAATCCCGAATGCGCCCAGTCCGCAACGCCGACGAACAACCGCTTCCAACGTGTCCTCGATGTCAGCGGACATCTAGGAGGACATACACGCCCTCTCGGCGACTGTGTCGAAGGCGGACAAGTTGATTGTCCTTGGTGATTTCAACGCCCGCGTCGGCACAGACCATACTGCATGGAGGGGAGTGCTGGGTCCCCACGGTCTCCGCGGCTCAAACGACAATGGTCTGCTGCTCCTCCGCACCTGCGCAGAACACCGCCTCATCCTGACGAACACGTTCTTCTGTCTGCCGGAGCGAGTGAAGGCCACCTGGAGGCATCCTCGGTCGCGTCAGTGGCACCTGCTGGACTATGTCCTCGTCCGGAGGCGAGATCAGCGGGACGTGCTGGTGACGAAAGCGATCGCGGTTGCTGACGGGTGGACCGACCATCGCCTCGTCATTTCGAAGATGCGTATTCGCCTACAGCCTCGCAGGAGACCACAAGGTAAGCGACCCCAGGTAAGCTGAATGTTGCCTTGTTATCTTTGCCCGCTTACCATCTTCATTTCAGCAATGAGCTAGCTCAACGGCTAGACAACCTTCCTATCACTGCCGACGCCGCCGCTGCCGAGAACGCCTCCGTGGAGAACCGCTGGTGTCAACTGTGAGACACGGTCCAGTCGACGGTGCTCGCCGTCCTCGGTCGCGCTCCCCGCCAACACCAGGACTGGTTCAATGACAACGACGCCGCCATCAGTAATCTGCTTGCTGAGAAGAACCGCCTACACAAAGCCTACGTAGATCACCCCACTGAGGATAAGAAAGCTGTTTTCTAACGCAGTCGCCGCCAGCTTCAGCAACGACTGCACGAGATGCCGGACGCCTGGACTGCTCGCAATGCTGAGGAGATCCAAGGGTACGCGGACCGCAACGAATGGAAGTACTTCTTCTCTGCGATCAAAGCTGTCTACGGTCCGCCGACGAAGGGCACTGCTCCTCTCCTCAGCGCCGACGACAACACTCTCCTGACTGAGAAGACGCAAATCCTACAGCGATGGGCCGAGCATTTCCGAGGCATCCTCAACCGCCCTTCCGCCATCTCCGATGCCGCCATCGAGCGTTTGCCGCAAGTGTAGACCAACGCGGACCTCGACCTCCCGCAATCCCTCCAGGGAACCAGCAGGGCCGTGCAACAGCTCTCCAGCGGGAAGGCACCCGGATCGGACGCGATCCCTGCTGAGGTCTACAAGCACGGAGGTCCCCAACTGATGGATCACCTGACTGCGCTCTTCCAAGAGATGTGGCGTCAAGGTGAAGTCCCGCAAGATTTCAAAGACGCAACAATCGTGCATCTCTACAAGCGCAAAGGGAATCGCCAAGTCTGCGACAATCACCGCGGCATCTCCTTGCTAAACATCGTCGGGAAGATCTTCGCCCGCATCCTTCTCAACCGCCTCAATAACCATCTGGAACAGGGCCTTCTGCTGGAAAGCCAATGCGGCTTCCGTCGTCATCGTGGGACCACGGGCATGATCTTCGCCGCCCGTCAACTTCAGGAGAAGTGTCAGGAGATGCGGACCCACCTGTACTCTACCTTCGTGGACCTGACGAAAGCCTACGACACGGTGAATCGTGAAGGACCGTGGAAGACCATGCAGAAATTCGGCTGTCCGGAGCGATTCACTCAGATGGTGCGTCAGCTGCACGACGGTATGATGGAGCGAGTCACGGACAATGGAGCTGTCTCAGAGGCATTCGCAGTGACCAATGGAGTAAAGCAGGGATGCGTACTGGCGCCTACCCTCTTCAGTCTTATGTTCTCTGTCATGCTGATGGACGCCTACGGTGACGAACGCCCCGGGATCCGCATCGCCTACAGGACGGACGGTCACCTGCTGAATCAACGACGGATGTACTTCCAATCGCGCGTATCCACAACCACCGTTCACGAACTCCTCTTCGCCGACGACTGCGCCCTGAACACCACCTCAGAAGAGGAGATGCAACGCAGCATGCACCTATTCTCCGCCGCCTGCGAGAACCTCGGTCTGGTCATCAACACGCAGAAGACGGTGGTGATGCATCAACCGCAACCCAACTCAGCCACAGCCCCCAACGAGCCGCAAATCAGCGTGAATGGGACCCAACTGCGAGTGGTGGAGAACTTCCCGTACCTGGGCAGTACCCTCTCCCGCAACACCAAGATCGATGACGAAGTCGCCAACAGCATCTCGAAAGCCAGTCAAGCCTTCGGTCGCCTCCAAAGCACAGTTTGGAATCGTCATGGTCTTCAAATGAGCACGAAGCTGAAGAAGTACAAGGCCGTCATCCTGCCGACACTTCTGTGTGGAGCGGAGACTTGGACGGTGTGCACAAAGCAGGCACGCCGTCTGAACCACTTCCACCTCAGTTGTCTTCGTCGCATCCTGAGGCTGAACTGGCAGGACCGAATCCCCGACACTGATGTGCTGGAACGGACGGGCATCGCCAACATCTACACCATGCTGAGACAAATGCAGCTGCGCTGGAACGGCCACCTGGTGCGCATGGACGACGAGCGACTACCAAAACGACTCTTCTATGGAGAACTCGTGACGGGTTCACGCCGTCAAGGAGGTTAGATTTGCCGTCACAAGGATACTCTGAAATCCTCCATGAAGCGACTGCAAATCAATCCGACCAACTGGGAAGAGCTACCCCGCGATCGTCCGACATGGAGGAGGACAGTAAAGACGGGCGCTGCTATCCACGAAGCTAACCGCATCGTCGTCGCCAAAGCGATACGCGAAGCCCGCAAATCCCAAATGCGCCCAGTCCGATACGCCGACGCACAACCGCTTCCAACGTGTCCTCGATGCCAACGGACATTCCGGGCTCGAATCGGACTTGTCGGACATCTTCGGATCAACTGCGCCCCGACAGTTCGACCATCGATTTCGATTATGTCCACCGTGTGCCCCACAGCTGCAGCTGCAAAGGTGGGAGCAGGGACGGTGACTTGCGCAGGGGTTTATAGTGCCAGTAGACTTGCGTAGCATCTACCTACACTCTCTCCTC